CTGCCACCACCCTGGCCGAGAAAGACCCTCTGCGCCTGCAGCAACCTTAAGCCCGGGCTTAAGGTTGCTGCAGGCGCAGAGGGTCTTTCTCGGCCAGGGTGGTGGCAGTGGTACCTCAGTCTCCCTGCCGAGGCTGGAGCTGCGAGGGGTGGAGAGAGAGACGAAGCACAGCTGATTGGCGGGGCTTTGCGATGATCGCTTCCCTGCAAAGCGCATTTTCCCCATAGGGGCCATTGCAAAGCGATCGCTTTTGCAGTTGCAAAAACAGCGTCGCAAAGCGATTCCTTCGCTATGCGGAGCAATCGCTATGCGAGGCACCACTGTATATGTATTTCTTAAGCAGAAAAAGGTGACAGTTATTAGAACCTCTCCATTGTAAGAGCTATCCATTTATGAGGTTCTCATAAGAATTTTGTATTTTTCTCATTTAATATATGTTCTTTTTGATTTAAATCAAATCCGTTCTGCTGTACATATTGCAGGAAAGAAAATGGTGTCTGTTTGCTTCTGCTGGCTGGATAGCTCAATTAGTTTGATATTTGGCTATGAAGTGAGAGGTTGAGACTGGGAGTTCAGTTCCTCAATGTGCATTCTGGAAGAGCCAGCCTATGTGGCCTTGGATAAGCAGCACAGTCCTAGAGCTCTCCTAGAAGAAGGGAATAATAAGTAATTTCTCGATAATGTATACTTAGAAAACCCTGGAAAGGGTCACCATAAGTCAGAACTGACTTGATGACACACAATTATTATTTATTATTGCTTCCGTTCAGAGGTCATATTAAGAGTTAATGTTTGAGAGACTGAAGTACAATCTTATGCATTTCTGTGCAGAAGTCAGTCACACTTTCAACTGGTTTTTCTGTCAAGTACCATGTGTGAGAGTGCCATTTTAGTTCTATTTCAGCTTTTAAAGTTGATAACAATCTTATATTCTGTCACAATATTATTTTCAAATTTTATTCCATATATGCCCTTGCTTGTTTCACAGAGTAAAAAATCGGTTGCTTATGATTTGCATGCAACTTCCATCTAGACTGCTTTCAAGTCCAGACTAGTTTGCTTCAGCAGTGTAAATGCATTATGTGCCTTCCGGCTACATACTGGGTCAGTAGGTATAGGGTGATCCCTTGACTGTCTTGGCCAGTGTATGCAGTTCAGTTACTGGATGTTTTGCAGGCTTAGGTTAACAACACCCTAACTAGGAAGATATTTGTTGAATTGCTGTTCTGGTCTGTGCCCAGATAGCTATTTCTACTCTTTTCTCAGAAGAGTCTTATTAAAGATCCCAGAATACTTTTATTTTTGTTCTATTAGAAGGTTCTTGTCTTTATCTTTCCTTTGAGCATGGAATGCTGTGCATAATGGTTTTCCAATCCTCTTGGAGGTCTGAGTTTAGTAGACTGTAGTAGTGATGACTGAGAAGGAAAATAATGTTCTACTGATTTTGAAGCATTTGATGTTGCTAGATTATGAATTGCTATGAATCTGCAGAGACCAGTAGGATCATTTATGAAGGATCCATTAATTCTCAGCAGAGAGACCAAAAGATTTTTGACTTTCCTGCTTAGGACCTTTTCTATAGAGACTCCTTCTGATTGGCTCCTTTTATAACCAAGATCATCTACAACCCCTATTATTTACAAATATCATTTGATCTATTTGCTGTTTTCTCCTCTGTGCTTCAGGTGAGAAGTTACGAGTACTTGGTTACAACCAGAATGGTGAATGGAGTGAGGTGCGCTCTAAGAATGGGCAGGGATGGGTGCCAAGTAACTACATCACCCCCGTGAACAGCTTGGAGAAGCACTCTTGGTATCATGGACCAGTGTCACGCAGTGCAGCTGAGTATCTGCTGAGCAGCCTCATTAATGGCAGCTTCCTAGTTCGGGAAAGTGAGAGTAGTCCAGGACAACTATCCATCTCACTCAGGTACGAGGGACGTGTTTACCACTACAGGATCAATACCACCAGTGATGGCAAGGTAAATCCTTTTGGGTAACTTGTTTTCTGAAAATTGAAAGGGAAAAGTATTCTGACGTAATCTGCTGTTTGCCAAAGAGCTGTAGTTAAGGACGTCCTGAAAATGAAGTTATCAATGTATTTTATTAATGTATTGCATTTTGATTGTTTTATCTTTTTCATTGTATTTTAATTGTTGTAAGCCGCCCAGAGACCTTTGGGTAGTGTGGGCAGCATATAAGTTAAACAAACAAACAAACAAGCAAATAATGTGACTGAAGCTACTCTCCTAATTATGAGGTGTGTCTGAGCTAGCTATTGGTCCCAACAGTTGCCACACAAGCGTGCAGTTTATGCTTCATCTTTCTCTTCTCTTCATGACAAGGGAGCACAGAATTTGTGTGTAGTGCAGGAGTGGTTAGCTATGCTGGCCAAAATCTACATGAAGTGATAGGTAGTGGGTTGGATAGAAATTCATGCACACATACAGTCATGGGGGGAGGAGAGTACATCCTCTTTGAATTCTTTGGTTTTACATATCAGAACATAATAAAAATCATCTGGTCCTTAGCAGTTCTGAAAATCAGGTAAATACAACCTCAGATGAACAACAACACATGACATATTACATTGTGTCATGATTTTACAGAAATAAAGCCAAAATGGAGAAGCCATGTGTGAAAACTAAGTACAATCTTACTGCTTCCATAGGAATTAAGAGGCTGCATAGCGGCCAGGTACAGTGGGGTCTCTACTTAAGAACGTCTCTACTGAAGAACAATCCAGCTTAAGAACAGCTCCATTTGCTAAATTGTTCTCTACTTGAGAACAGAAATCCAAGATAAGAACAGGAAAAAAAAACCTTTCCTGCTCTTTTTTTAACCTTAGGTCATCTTAGGTTAAAAAAAAAAATTCTCCCCCTAGTGGGAGAGTACGTATTAACCAGCTTTGCATTAGTTCCTATGGGAACTAATGCTTCAATGTATGAACGCACCTCTACATAACAAAAAAACAGCCAGAATGGATTAATTGGTTTTCAGTCCATTCCTATGGGAAATTTTTGCTTCAACTTAAGAACGTTTCAACTTAAGACCACCATTCCAAAACGGATTAAGTTCTTAAGTAGAGGTTCCACTGTAGTTTCTATGGACGGAAAAGAGCAGATACGGATTAAATGGTTTTCAATGCATTCCTATGGGAAATGCAGATTCAACATAAGAACTTTTCAACTTGAGAACCACCTTCCAATATGGATTAAGTTCTTAAGTAGAGACCCCACTGTATTGCTAACCAAGTGCCCTTTAGTAGATTATCAGCAAATGTGACCATCTCTATAAAAGCTGAAGTTTTAGCAGTTTGCTGGTCTAGAGTGTTCAGGTGTGTGATAAAATAATGCCAAGGAGGAAACAGCACCAATGATAATAGAGAATGGTTGCTGCCTATCAGTCTGGAAAGGGTTATAAGGTCATTTCCAAACAGTTAAAGTCCATCATTCTACGGTGAGGAAGATCATTCACAAGTGAAAGACATTCAAGAAACTCACCAAACTTCCCAGGAGTAGATGTTCAAGCAAATTCACCCCAAAGTCAGATTGTGCAGTGCTCAGAGAAATTGCAAAAAACCCAAGAGCTACATCTCAGACTCTACAGGCCTCAGTTAGCATGTTAAATGTTATTCATGACAGTACAATTAGAAAAAGACTCAACAAGTATGGTCGGTTTGGAAGGGTTGTCAGGAGAAAGCCTCTTCTCTCTAAAAGCCATGGCAGCATGGCTTAGGTTTGCAAAGTTGCGTCTGGGCAAACCACAGGGGTTCTGAAATTGTGTCCTTTGGACTTGTGAGACCAAAGTGGAGATGTTTGGCCATCATGCACAGTGCCACATTTGGTGAAAATAAAACACAGCATATCAGCACAAACACCTCATACCAACTGTCAAGCACGGTGGTGAAGAGGTGATGATTTGGGCTTGTTTTGTAGCCGCAGGACCTGGGCACCTTGCAGTCACTGAGTCGACCATGAAGTCCTCTGTATACTAAAGTATTCTAGCATCAAATGTGAAGCCATCTGTCCAGCAGCTAAAGCTTGGCTGAAATTGGGTCATGTAAAAAGACAATGATCTCTATCGCACCAGCAAATCTACAGCAGAATGGCTGAACAAGAAAAGAATCAATGTGTTTCAATGGCCCAGTCAAAGTCCAGACCTCAACCTGATTGAAATATTTTGGCAGGACCTTACAAGAGCTGTGCATAAAAGAATGCCCACTGTGACAGAACCCTAGCCAGTTTTGTCTAGTAACAGGAGAAAGAAGATGATTGGCTGGGAAAATGCAGAAAGTGAGCCAGTCCAGGAAAGCCTGCTGGAGGTGGAGCCAAGAGGAACAGCTGGAGAGAGAAGAAGCTAATTTATATTAGAGAAAGAGAGGTTGTATTTTAGCAGTGGGCTGTAACTTAAGATGAACTTACATTGAACTCTGTTTATTTTATCAGTAGTTAACCTTGTAATAAAGGACAATTCATATGTTTCATTCTAAAACTGCTTAGGCTCCTATGTTTATGACTGAAGACAAGCCTTTTTCAAGGAAGGATATTTGAAAAGTGACAAGCCTGGTTGAGGGCTGGTCACACCCACAAACTGTTGAGAGTTCTGGGAACTTGATTAAATTCCAGTAAAATGCACAGTGTAAGGCCAGCTCCTTAAGATTAGACTTACAGTGGTGCCTCGCTTAACGATTACCTCGTTGAATGACGAAACCGCTTTACGATGAAGTTTTTGCGATCGCTATTGCGATCGCAAAACGATGTTCCTATAGGGAAAAATCGCTTGATGGTTGGTTCCCGGATTCGGGAACCGATTTTTCGCTAGACAGTGATTTTAAAACCGCTGATCGGCGGCTCTAAAATGGCCGCCTGCTATGCAAAATGGCTCCCTGCTGTGCTTTAGGATGGATTTCTCGCTTTACTGGCACTGGATAATGGCCGCCCTATGGAGGATCTTCGCAAAACGAGCAGGTATTCCGACCATTGGAACGCATTGAACCAGTTTTCAATGTATTTCAATGGGTTTTTTAATTTTGCTTAATAAGGATTTCGCTTAACAGTGATTTGAACAGAACTAATTATCCTCGTCAAGCGAGGCACCACTGTACTGTATTTTTGCTCCATCAGATGCAATTTTTTTACCCCCCAAAGTGGGGGGGTATATGCATCTTATGGAGTGAATATTATAAAAAATGGTTCAAGGCCTCCTCAACCACCCCCACCCAGAAGCCTCCCACGGTTCCTCCACTGTGCCGAAAGGCCTCCAAACCAGCGCCAGAGGCTGCTCACTGTGGCAGCTGCATTGGACCTTACCGCTCCTCTGTCTGAGCTGCTAGCTTTCCAGGCTCTGCCTCCTGGAGCCTGCTCGGAAAGCCAACAGGGCCAACAGGCCTATAGCAGCAAAATCAAATGGCTGAGGGGGAAAGAGATGAGGGGAAAGCACAAACATGGTCTCCCACTACCACAAATTATACAGTTGAGTTTCCCACATTTGGAGAAATCGCAGGATCAGCACGCCTGAAGTGCAGTGGATGAGCCTCAACCTGGGAAAAACCGCCTTTGTGATTGTGGTATCTCTCCTGCCAAGTAAGTATGAGTTAGAGTGGCCCCCACGCCTCCTGCCCCCTGCCCCTCCAAGGCATGGCGACCCCTCCGGCTACACCTCCCACTCAGAACAGGGCTGCACAGCCCCGGTCCCACCAGAGGCCAAGAGAGCTCCTCAGTGTTTTGGGGTGCCCCGCGGAACCCCCATCAGGGGCCGGGTGTTCCTCCCACAATCCTCCAGTGCACAGATACTAGAATACCTGACTGCATCTGCCTGCTTGCATCACTCGGATGGCTTCTCTATTGGAGAAGCAAAGCAGGAAGGAGGAGTCTCTTTCCATTCAACTTCTGCATAAAAGTTAGCTGGAGGCTACAGCAACTCTGTACAGATGACAGTTTTATTATCCTTTGCAAACTAAAGATTTGCAAACTAAAGCCCGAAACAGCTGTGGTTTTTTTCCAATATATAAAAAGGATAATAAAGCTGTCATCTGTTGAGAGTTGCTGTAGCCTCCAGCTAACTTCTCCGCAGAAGGTGAGCGGAAAGACTCATACTTACCTGGCAGGGGACATACCATGATCACAAAGGTGGTTTTTCCCAGGTTGAGACTCATCCATTGCACTTCGGGTGTGCTGATCCTGCAATTTCCCCAAATGTGGGAAACTCGACTGCATAATTTGTGGTAGTGGGAGACTGTGTTTGTGCTTCCCCTGGCCTTTCTACAATCACTTTGATTTCTTTTCCCCTCACCAGGACCCACTGAAAAGGCAGCAAGTCCTGGTGATGTCTTGTACTGCATTCTCCCTCTTTTTCTCCCCAGTGGCAAAGGAACAGGCCAAAGGGAGTCACTATGATCAGGAGCCAGGGGACTGCTTTGACTCGCCCTCTTCCTTTGCTGCTGGAGAGAGAAAGAGGGGGGATGCCAACTGAGACCGACTGCATTTCCAAAGGCAGTGCAGATGAAGGGATCGCTTTTCCCCACACTGCTTTTGCCAAAGCGGTCTCGGTGACTTGGATCTGGCATTCCCCCTCTTTCTCTCCCCAGCGGCATGGGAAGAGAGCTATTTGGTTCAGAATATTTTTTTTTCTGTTTTCCTCTAAAAATTATGTGCATCTTATAGTCAGGTGCGTCTTATGGAACAAAAAAAATACGGTAGTTGTAGAAGTCCCCTTCTTTACCCAACTGTTTTTGGTAGCCACCCTCACCAAAGCCTAGCACTTTAGAAAATAAGACACAGGAGACAATCTTTAAGTATAAAAGGTTTTGTGTATTTTACTCACTTAAACGTCCATTTCTAAAACAGGCACTCATTAGGCTTAAAGTTGATAGAAAGGAAAATAGTTGTTTCCTCAACCCATGTGGCTGCGAGGATCTCTAGGGTTCAGAGATCCAGCCTGGAGATCTAGCACCCTCAAAGGTGAAAAAAAGGGTCTGAGACAAAATTGAGTCTCTCAAAATGCGTGACAAGGAGAAGGGAGGAAACAAGGGCGGAGCTCATCTAGCCCGGCAAAAATAAACCCCTCTGATTAGTTAGCATGCAAACAAGTTAGTCTTTGACGGAGGCCCTTCCTCCCATATCTTGAAATTTACATCAAGATTGCTAACTAGCCAACACAAACCTCAATGACCTGAAGCAATGTTGTAAAGAAGATTGGGCCAAAGTTCCTCCACAATGATGTGAGAAACTGATATAGTTGTACAGAAAACAATTACTTTAAATTATTGCTGCTAAAGGTGGTTCTACAGGCTATTGAATCATAATGTGTACTTAGGTTTTCACACATGTCTTCTCCATTTTGGCTTTATTTTTGTTAAATAAATCATGACACAGTTTAGTATGTCATGTGTTTATGTTTATCTGAGGTTGTATTTACCTAATTTTCAGACTTGTTAAAGACCTAATGATTTTTTTTATGTCCTGATACGTAAAACCATAGAATTCAAAGAGGATGTACTTTGTTTTTCACATGACTATTTATCTATAGGTAGCCACTTCCAATCAATGCATCTCTCCTTCATATTCTTTATGTTCTTTCACATAGCCATTCAAATACACAAGCAAACCCACAGCTCCATTTAAACACCTGCCAGCTGGATTTCCCCCCTTTTCACATGTCTCCTCAGAAGTAAGTCAGGCACAGCAAAGACTAAATGTACTTGAAGGACCACTGTTTTTCCTTGCTTCTTCCCCAAAATATGAGATTCATATTAAAATTTTGTTGTCATCAGTAGTTGCATTTCAGCGAGAAAAATATCATGTGAATCTCATACTTGATTATATAATTAGTAAGAAAATAATTCATCTATTCCTATAATTTGCATTTTTACTTAGCATGATGATGGGTTTCTTTCTGTTTTAGCATGTAGACTTTTCCAGCTTACATATTGAAATTCTGAATCAGTATAGTTGCTCAAATCATAGTTTACTAGTGTGGCTGTAATGGCATGCCATACTTGGATTAAATATGAAATAAATAATTAAATCCCATGCACAAGGTGAAGATAGAGCATTTGAGTCATGAGCTGGTTCATGTTTCTTCAAACCATGCTTTGGAGCAGAATGAGGAACCTTTTTTAATCCAAAAGTCAATTTCCATTGAGAAAAAGCCTGAGGGAGTGCACATTCAGTGTTAAATACAGCCTAAGATATGGGGCAAGACCATAGCAAAATACAGTGGTACCTCGCAAAACGATTACTCCTCAGAACGATGAATCCGCATGATGACGTTTTGCGACTGCCATTTTGCTTTGCAAAACAGTGATTCCTATGGGGGAATTTTGCTGGATGGTGATTTGGTCCATGCTTCGCGGGCCGTTTTTTCGCAAGACGACAATTTAGAACAGCTGATTGGCGGTTCGCAAAATGGCTTCCCTAGGGGCGATCTTTGCAAAACGGGTGTTTTCGGGCCTGTTTTTCGCAAGACAGCGATTTAGAACAGCTGGTCGGCAGTTCACAAAGCAGCTTCCCTATGGGTGATCTTCGCAGGTTTTTTCCCCATTGGAACACATTAAACGGGTTTCAGTGCATTCCAATGGGGAAAGGCTTTTCACTAGACAATGTTTTTCTAAACAGCGATTTCAATGGAATGAATTAACATTGTCTAGCAGGGCATCACTGAGGGGGGAACTGAGTGAAAAAACTGTTTTTTAAATCATAGTTTTAAATTGTATTTTGCTTCTCAAAATAGAAGAGAGAGAAATATGTTGTAAGAGAATTTTCTCAGTTTTTCTCAACTTCTAGATTTTCTGCTTTAGGTATCTTGAGGGAAATGTCTCCTTTCTGGCCTTCACCTCACTTTCCGCCCATCTTACACATTCTTTTGATTCAACAGGTATATGTGACAGCTGAAAGCCGTTTCAACACATTAGCAGAGCTAGTTCACCATCACTCAACTGTAGCTGATGGCCTTGTGACAACCTTGCACTACCCAGCACCAAAGTGCAATAAGCCCACAGTGTATGGGGTGTCTCCTATCCATGATAAGTGGGAAATGGAACGAACAGATATCACCATGAAGCACAAGCTTGGGGGAGGACAGTATGGTGAAGTGTATGTTGGGATGTGGAAGAAATACAACCTGACAGTTGCTGTGAAAACACTCAAGGTATGATTATTGTATTCATGAGAAATATTTACTTGGATTAAATGTAACTGTTCGTAGTCAATTTACAGTGTATTGCCACATTTGGATTACATGTTGCCTGCTGGTATCATAAATGACTCATAGACAATGAGACAAATTCACATGCATCCCCTATTGTCAAAGGAAGAAGTAGTGAAGAGTATTAGGGAAGAAATGACAGACTACAGTGGTGCCTTGCTTAATGAGTGGCCCGTTTAACGATGAATCTGCATAGCGATGGAGTTTTTGCAGTTGCGATGTTTTAAATGGGGGAAAATCGCTTTGCGATGATCGTGGGGTAGCTCTTCCCCATGATCATCCCAAAGGCCCCCCCAAAGAGAGCCTGGGACCTGCAAGGAGAGGGGGGGTTTGCGAAGCTGGCTTCCCTGCGATCTTTGCAAACCCCCGCCCATCAACTGTGCTTAGGGATAGCTGAGCCAGCCCGAAGCACAGCTGAGGGGGGGTGCTTGGAAAGATAGGGGAGAAGCCAGCTTCGCAAACCCAGCGTGCTCTCTCTCTCTCTCCCCTCGCAACTCCAGCCTGGGCAGGGAGACTCAGTCACCCTGGCTGTGGCGGTGTGGTGCCTCAGTCTCCTTGCCCAGGCTGGACCTGCAAGGGGAGAGAGAGAGAGAGCGCGCTGGGTTTGCAAAGCTGGCTTCCCCCCTATCTTTCCAAGCACCCCCCATCAGCTGTGCTTCGGGCTGGCTCAGCTATCCCTAAGCACAGTTGATGGGCGGGTGTTTGCAAAGATCGTGGGGAAGCCAGCTTCGGAACCCCCCCCCCCCGCGACTTCGGCTCTCTCTCTCTCTCCCCTTGCAACTCCAGCCTGGGCAGGGAGACTCAGTCACCCTGGCCGTGTCAGCGCGGTGCCTCAGTCTCTTTGCCCAGGCTGGACCTGCAAGGAGGGGGGGGGGAGAGAGCGCCCCCAAGCACAGCTGATCGGCGGTTCCAAAATGGCCACCGCTGTGTTGCCTCGCTTTAGAGGCACCGAAAATAGCGGTGGGATGTAGGATTTTCGCTTAAAGATGAGTTTTTTCCCCATGGGAACGCATTAAACGTGTTTTAATGCGTTCCTATGGGGTTTTTTGCCCCACATAGTGACGAATCTGTATAGTGATGATTTTTTCGGAATGGATTATCGTCGCTATGCAGGGCACCACTGTATTTTCTGAGAAATTCTACACAGGGAATGTCGTTACGGACGATATGGGAAGTCAGCAAAGCAGTCTTCCGAGGCATTGCTATTAGAATTACAGCAACAAAAAGGGGGGAAAGAAACAAAAATTATAAAGAACTTGAAGTAGAGTTAAAGAAGCAGAGACGCAACTGAAACAAAATCCAACAGCGTCAAAATTAAAACAGAAGATTCATGTTGCACAACATAAACTGAACATTTTAATAACAGAAGATATAGCAAAGAAATTGAAATTGGCAGAGCAAACATACTTTGAAATTTCTAATAAAGTGGGGAGATGGCTGGTGTATAAGTTGACGAAAGAAAGAACCAAAAATTTCATTTTAAACCTTAAAAATCAAAATGGAGAGGTTATAAGAGGCCCTGGAGAACTTCGAATTGTGGAGGAATTCTACATAAAGTTGTATACAGAAGGAGGCATGCCACTCAAAGAACAGAGAGAATATATTGTATCAAGCTCTGCTCCCCTTTTAATCCTTTTAATCCTTTTAATCTTTTTAATTTTTATTTTTAATATTTTCAGAGCACTTAGGTGCTCAAGTGACTCTTTTTGGGACACATCCAAATCTGTCTCTGAAGTCTCAAGCTCTCTCTCTTCCTGGTTGGGAGTTTAAAGTACTTATTTACAAACCTTGAAGCTGCTGCTACGATAACAAGACGCTGCTATCTCTGGCTTTACTGCTCCCACTCTTCCATTCAAGATCAATTGCAGCAAGGCGTAATTGCTACACTTGTAGCTCTGAGTTGGACTTTTGGTAGCTAGTTGTTGAAAAGAGAAGGCTGAACTGTATGGGGGGTAAATTATGCAGAGCCAGCCCGGAGCAGCCGCTTGCAAGGGCGTTGAAACAACTGAAGATGGATGAGTTTGTAACAGCCAACTGTCCTGTGAGTAACCTTGCTACATTACCTATAGCTTCCAGCATTCTCACTAATAACAGATTTGCTTTGCTGAGAGAGGAAACACTCTCGTCCCCACCGGGTGCTTGTGACTTATCTGCAATTTCGACACCTTGTACTCCCCTTACCCCCAAAAAAGTACAGTTCCCCTCTGAAAGTAACCATGCTAAATTTCTAGCTGAACAATGTCTCCTAACAGCCCAAACAGTAATAGCCATCTTTGATAACCTACAACGGGTTTGCAATCAAATGAACTCAGTTGAAAGTGCTCTGGGGAAACTTACTGAGACCCTTCTTCAACCCAAGGATAATAC